GTTGATGCCTGCGGGGATGGGGGGGAGACAGAGCGGCGTTCAGCCCCTGCAGCCCCCCCGGGAGCACCCCCGCCCCGCCGCACACCCCGCGGCCGGAGGGATCCGGAGGATCCGGAGGGATGCTGCGGCTCCGAGCGGGGATGGAGCAGCCGGAGCCCTCCCGGCGCTGCGCACCCACCCTGCCTCCATGTCCCTGCTCCTTTGCCCTCCCCGAAAGGTGACGCCAAGGCACCGGCGCGGAGAGTTTAGTGTCCTAATGTCACCGCTAGAAAAGGGGATGTCCCAGCCCTCCCTGGCCCCCCAAACCTCACTGGATGGAGAGCAGCCGGTCCATAGTATCCCCCCATCTGCCCTGGCCACGCTGCAGGGCTTGGGGGAGAGGAAATCCCTCCGAAAAAGAAATTTCACTCAATCTTTGCTAAAAAAAAAAAGAAGAAAAAGCCCGGATTCGGCTTTCAGCCCTTCGGCACTCGGTCGCCAGCAGCAAGTGGGAACCGCAGGGACCCCCCCCAAATTCCCCGGAGGGAATTCATCAGCCAGGCATGGGAGCTGCAGTGGAGCCCGGCTGCAGCAGGAACAGGCTGTAATTAACTTCTCCCAAGCATCAATTCGGGCAGAGCTGTCTCTCCGTGAGACAAACAGGAGCCGGAGTGAATGAATAGGCCTGGCCGAGCTGCAAAAGCAGCCCCCCACATGGCACCCCCAGAGCCGGGGGGTCCCCGCGGGTCCCTCCGCGCTGCAAGCGTGGCTTGAGCTCCGCAGGAGAAATGCGAAGTTGTGTGTCCGACGGGAGATGCTCGTACCTCAGCTGGGCAGCGTCCTGGGAGCCTCCTGGCATTCGGGGAGGACGAAGAAAGGGGGGAAAAACCTAAAGGATTTGCTTGCAGGAGCAGCAGTGCAGCGCTGTCGGTGCAGCACCGGAGCCAGAGCCCCGCTCCTGGCTCGGCTGACCAGGGAGGAGGCTTTGGACAGTGAGGTTTGGGGACAGCCGGAGGGATTTGGGGACGGCAGAGAGCCCAGTGCCCAGGGCTGCTTAAAGGGACACTCACAAGCTCAGATCCAAAAAAAAAATTAAAAAATCATCTGCCTTATTTGGTGAGGAATGGGCTGCTGGTTCAGAAATACATTTTTTTGTTTGTTTGTTTTAAATGGAGCGCTCCTTTGCTGGGAAAAATCAAAGAGATGGGGATGGGGAGGGGGGTGGGACAGGGAGAAAATAGCCCCTGCTGTTTACATGCCTTGGGATTAGGGCAAGGCACAGTCAAAGCCACCCCAAAGTCCCGTGCCCCGTGTCCTTCTTAAAAAGGCAATCGGCCACGGATGGGACATCCAGGGAGAACCACGAGCCCACCCAAGCCACGCTGCTGGGGATGCCAAAGGCCACCCCAAACGTGTCTGCAGGACAGCTCAGCTCCCCCCAGGAGCCCTGACCCCAACCCACAGTGTGGAAATGGGCCAGAGGGAGGAAGGACGGCTGGGACAATGCAGATCCTTGTGGGAGCAGGCAGCAGTGGGGCCGGATCCTGGGGAGCAGCTTCTGCTGAGCTCAGTGGGACAGAGCAGGGCCTGCCAGGACTGGGGTCCCACTGCCTGCAGAGACAGGCCATCACCAGCCCCTTATCGAGAGGAAAGGAAACTTCTGTATTTATTTTGTGTAGGAAAAAGCTGCTTTTTCCCTGCCGATAGAGCCCCCGTCACAGGCTCCCACTATCCCCGGGGCTGAGCTGGAAAGATAAACACAGCTCTTTTCCTGAGTATAACAAAGTCCCTCCATAAAACTGGGTTAGGTTTTTTTCATCCTTTGGTACTGTTTTGTCCTCCCAGGCAGGTGCAGGTAACCCCACCCAAAACTCGGTCTGAACATCTCCAGTGCAGCGTGACCAGGGCAGAGGCAGCAGCTGCTGAATCCACATGGAGACTGGGATGGGAACAGCATGTAAGGAGTTAAAGAGCATCCACAAATATTACATTCCTCCCTGGATAGCCAGGATTTGGACTGTAAAGGGGGTTCTACTGTCAGGGCATTAGGCCTTGTTAAAGTTTGGGGCTAGACAAGCTCCAATGATCTCAGGCCAAGGGGGAGGTTAACAAGGCTTGGGAAAAAGGATGTACCACTGATAGTGGGCACAAAGAATACAGAATTTACAGGCCACAAGGACATTTGGCAGAACTCCCAAGATAAGGAAGAAACTAATAGAAGCAATTCAGCAACTGTGCTGAATCAGCCCTGACTGGGTAAGAGGCAATTCTGGCAGGGGGAGAATCAAAACCACCAACCCAAGAAACCACCAGCTCAAAACATGAGTGCTCTCTCTGTCCCCCCTCTTTTCCCTCTCTCTCTATCTTTTCTCTCTCTCTACCTCACATTGATTGCTAATAAAATCTGTATTATTTACTTCAGCATTTGTCTTGTTTGCACCTCAATTCAGGCAGAGGCATCTCTCACTAATCAGATTCTAACACAGGGATCTCATCCCTGGGGAGAGCTGGGCACCCTGTGGGCAGCACCCACCAGACCCCACCAAGCTGCTGCCTCTAAACCCATCCTGCAGCCCAGGGTGAAAGCTGTTAGTTGTGGTGCCTGGGATCTTGGCTGGGATCTGCCTCTTTTCCAGCTGAGGAAAGAGGTTCGCTTTTCCTGGCTGAGAAATAAATCAACAAATAACTCCGTGGGCCCCAGGAAAGAAGAAATGCTTTGAAGGTACCCAGGAGGGACTAAGACCAGGCTAGTCCTTCCTAATGTAATTGCTCAGCAGACTCTGCAGGGAATCTTCTCTGCATGCAGTTGTGCTAAGGTATATCAAAGCCAGATCCTCAAAGGCACTTGCCAGAGCATCTTTGAGAATAACAGGCTTAAATCCCAAGTTTCTGGAGATGTGTGATGTGCAGTTCTGCCTCCAGCCTCTTGGGAAAGCTCCACTTAGGATGGGACCTGGTACAAAATGGGATATTTTGGAAAATGAATGCCACTGAGATGCCAAGTGCTGCACCTCCCTCCAGCACCCCACAGTTTGGGGGTGTTTTCCCTGCACCTCCATAACTGCTGCCTCTGTGCTCCCCAAAAGGAGCAGGGCTCTACCTGTGCTGCTAATTAGTGGAATGAGGAGCCAGCACCGTCCTCCCCACTGGGAAGCAGCTAATAAACTAATTAGGATAATGGGTAACTGAGCAGATAAAACTCTTAAGCTATTTGCTGACAGGTCACGGATGGATGAGGAGCCTTTCCCCCAGCCAGTGATGCACCTGCATGACCCCAGTGGTCCCAGCCATCCCAGTCCTGCTGCTCCAGCGATGCCCTGTGTGGGGAAGGGCCTGCAGGTATTGCCCTGGGGATGATTTGAGCACCCCTCTGCTTTTCTCTGAGGGAGCTGCAAGCCTGAAGTCCCTTTATTTTTGCACAGATGTTGTGTTTTCCACGCCAGTGCCTCACCACCCTGGGCAGGCAGCTGCTGCTCAGCAAGGGGACCTCTGCCAGCCCGAGCCTGGTGACAAGGGTGACCCTGGTGGAGGGCACTCATAGTCAATACCCCCCACAGCAGGAGTTTTGTGTCTTTTGGGGTGATGAGTCACAGGCTGCATCACTCACATTCATTCCTGGCAGCCTGCAGATGAGGCAGGAAAGGGGGGTCCCAGGGCCACCAGCACAGGGTGAGACTGGTGACAGAGCCCCTGGGGCCACCAAAAGAAAGGGCTGCAGGAGTGAGATTTTACCAGGTGAGGCAGCTATGGCTGTGTAGTCTGCAGAGCAGACAGCCTGACTGTGGGTGTAGCTTCTGTCTTGGAAGAGCTTGGTCAGCTATGGAAAATGCCCAAAGGTTAAAAAATGAGGAATTTCCACGGCCCCACCCAGGAGTGCTGAAACAAATGAAGTGATAACGAAAGCATAACGGGCTTATTTCCAGATCCAGAGCACAGGATCCTATCAGGAACTGCTCCTCCATCAGAAATGACCGAAGGGTGCCAGTCCCAGGCCAGTTTGACCCGTGCTGGGCAGCCCAGACCCTGCTGCTCCCCCTGCCTGTGTGGGAGCCTTGCACTCCCACGGCTCCCATCCCACCCAGGATCCAGGTCACAGGGAGGAAAGTTGCTTTCTGCATCTGAGGGGGAGGATTTGAGGCCAAGTGGATGTGACCTTGGTCTCTGGCAGGGAGCTGCCACGTGGTGCTGCCCACCGTGTGCTGCAACCACCACACTGGCCACTTGCCCTTCCCTCTGTTCAACTGAAGCTGTTTTTAGAGTCGCTGCTCTCCCAAAGTGCTTCACATCTCTCTGATCCTGGCTGGAGAAAGAGCTGAAGAGATCAGCAGAGCATCCACCTCCTTGGCCCAAGTTCTGGCAGGAGCCACCTCTGTGTCCACCTGTGGCATCTCCCTGAGCAGACAGACTGGACATGGTGAGGATGGAGGTAGCCCTGTCTCCTCAAGTACCAGGTGAAATCCCAGTGGAAAATTGCAGCTGGGCAGGCTCCAGCTGCCTCTGCTCTTCCCTGGAATGCCCGTGGTTGGATTCCCTCACTGTGTGCTCGAGTTCCTTCCAGCCTTTGTTAGGGTGGGTGGGAGAGGAGCTCCCCCCTGGTGTGGGACAGGTTGGACCATTTGTTCTGCTGCTGGTGGGGCAGAAACTTGGCTCTTCTTTGCCAAGCACACAGAGTAATCCTGCATCACCATCAGTTTAGTTCTGACAGTAACAGCCCTTTTCTGCATGCTCAGGGCCCATCCCAGCAAAACCCTGTGGCTGACACCTCTGGAGCCTGGTCCAGACCCCTCTGTCAGCAGGTCTGACCCAGCAAGCACACTGTACAAGTAAAAATCTGATTTTAAACCTTTCTGCCCTCATCCTCACAGGGCTTTTATCTGAGGGTGGGAGGAGGAAAGCTTCATTACTGTGTGCTGGGGTCGCTTATTAACCTGCTGGTTCCTAATGATGCACTTATCTCCTCCTGCCAGCCTTGGCCTCCATCAGGCACTGCTGCAGGGGCTCTCCTGCCCTACATTGCTCTGTCTTCATTAGCTTTTCATTTTCCTTAATTGCTCCTGCAGATTTGCCTGGGGTGTGAGGCCTGGGGGATACCCAGAGGGAGATGGGGATGCAGGGGAGCAGGGCACTGCTCTGCCAAGCACGAGGCTGGGGTTCTGCTTCACTGATGGAAGAGCAGGAAAGCACTGATGCTCTGGCCTGCTGCTCCCCAGCCATGGGCAGGGTTTGTTATTAACCCCTAAACTGGCTGGGGTAAATATTTGAGGTCCCAGGATGCAGGAGAGTGCAGAGTCCTGCCTCAACCCAGGAGCCTTGCAGCTAAAATGTGGAAATGTGGCCACTCTCCCACTTGCACCACCCCCTGCACCCAAACCACGCGTGAAAGCTGCCGGTCTGGGGGTGCATCCCAACCCCTCTCCCTGCCCCACACCCAGCTCTGACCTGCAGTGGTGGTGTCCACGTCCCTGGCCGCCATCTCCTCCACCTCCGCCCTCCTGCGCAGCTCCAGCCGGCGCGAGAAGCCCTCCCTGGGCTTCCAGAGGTCCTGGATGAGCAGCGGCTTCTCGTGGTCACCCAGGACCCTCAGCCCCTCTGTCTGCCACTGCTTCTCGGGGCCCTGGAAGCGGCCGATGACATCGCAGAGCGCGTACTGCCCAGCGCTGAGCTGGCTCAGCCCGTAGCGCTCCAGGGCCTCCTTCACCAGCTCCCGCGCGCCAGAGCTGCCCGTCACCAGCACGCTCTTGTAGTTGGTGCCCGCACAGATGTTGCCCCCGAAGATTTTCAGGATGCCAGGGGCTGAGAGCTGGGTGGAGAGCTCGGCCGGGTCGTCCTCGGCGGCGGCCGGGGAGGCGGAGGCCGAGCCGCGGTCCTTGTAGCTCAGGGTGCGGTACAGGACCTGGGAGAAGAGCCGGCTCTGGCGCTTCAGCCGGTTCTTGGACGGCGGAGCCATGGTGGAGGACGGCCCATAAAACATGGTGCGAGAGGTGGTCATGAAGCACAGCTGGGCAGGGAAGAGCACAAAGGGGAAGGTGAGCGCTCTGGAGGCCAGATGTGCAGCAGGGGAGAGCGAGCTGGTGGCCACGGAGGAGCCACTGTCACCTCCAAGGTGACAGATCAAGGGAGGGCCATTTCCCTTGTGTAACCCAAAACACCAGTGGAAAAGCTCGATTTGCCCCTGAAAACACAGCTTGGAGATGCCCCATATTTCTCCAAGGTCCCTCTTACTCAGGCAAAATGCAGTGAGGGGAGAGCAGAGCCCAGCGGGACTTGGCGGGGCCCATCCTGGTGAGGAGCCAAAGCATCAGAGTTACTTTCACTAACGAGTTTACGGAGCAATCCCATTTTTTAGAGGTGAAACAGAAAGCTCAAGTGCAAATTCACTCACTCTGAGGTCACTGCTAAATGCTTTTGCTCAGCGAGAGGCACGGGGTGAAAATGGGCTTTAATTAGCCTTTCTAAAAATGTCCTGACTCTGGCAAATCTCTTGGCTGTTGCTTGTTTGTGGAGGACGTTCAGGCCCAGGGTGGCATCGCTGGCAAGGCTGCCCTTGTCACGTTAGCCCAGGGCAGCCCCGAGCGGGCAGCGACCAGAGGAGATGTGGCCAAGGCCATGTGGCAGCTCCCAGTGCTCCTCAACCCCCTGGAATGGACTGGGAGCCACAAATAACTTCTGGATTTAGGTGGGTAGCGCTCCTGCCTGATGTCACTGTCACCATCTGCCAATGGCTTTGAAATCCCATCCTGGTTGCACCAGTGCCTGGTGCTTGCATGGTGCTGATAACCCACAGGTGCTGATAACCCACAGGTGCTGATAACCCACAGGTGCTGATAACACACCCTGGCTGCCAGGGAGGTCTGGAAAGACAATCTGAGCATTCCTGATCAGGACAGGACTGGGATCTCCCTTACCCCTGGATCTGTAACATGCAGGTGCTCCCTGCATACACAGAGAAACCCCAAAATGTCCCATCCACAGCTATCGGAGCTGGGGATATTTCCGTGTTTCCAGCTGCCTGGATGCAGCACTTGGGGTGATCTGGGTGTTCCTCCTGGGGACACACGAGGTGCCAGCAGCCTCCCACAGCTGCGGCCCCGACTGGCTCGGGCACAGCCGCGCCTCTGGAGCAAGCTCAGCGCTATCAGGCAGAATGATGTCGGGCCTGGAAAGCTTCCAAACCACCATCTAATTCAGGAAAAAAGAGCGTCCCTGCTGCTAATGGAAGAGGTCACCTTCTAACCCAGAAACCACCTCCCAGCCGTGCGTGGAGGCTGGCTGCAGGATGTGCATCCCCCCATCCCGCAGCCAGAGGCCCATGGAATGCTGCAGATGGGGAAACTGAGGCAGCAGGTGCTAAGGATGTGGCTGGGAGCTGTGTAATCCTGCAATGCTACCCCTTTCCCTTTTCCCAGCCCCACCAGGAACATGAAAATGATGGGGTTTGTTCTTCTTCACAACCTGCTGGTTCCAAAACTGACTCCTGGTGTGCTGAAGGGCAGGAGTCCTGGCACAGGACAGCAGGGCTGAGGACCTTGTGTTTTATATTGTCCCAGAACTTCACCCAAATTCGCCGGGTTCAGGTAAGGCTGCTCCTGCCTTGCAAGTGGGGAAACTGAGTCAGGGATGGGGTTGGGGCTCTGGCTCCCCCCACACCACTGCTCCTCCCTCTCCAGCTGAGCCCGGAGCTGCTGCTCCCGCTGGGGACATCCCTGGGGACATCCCTTGATGTCTGCTGTGTGACATCTCCTGGGAGTGCCGCGGCAGCCCCGACCTGGGGAGCAGGTCAGGGCACTGGCAGTGCTCAGGAACAGCTGCCCCAGGCTGCAGCACGGCCCTGCCAGCCCTCATTAACATTGACCAGAAGGAAAACTGCCCCAGAGTCCCCACAGGACCTTGTCATCAAGGATGCAAAAGACAAAACTTTGTCATCAAATCACTGGTTTCATCAATTTAATCTCCTCCACCCTGAACCCCCAGCACAAAAGGGAAACCTTTTACCATCTGCTGGTGGCAAAATCATTCCTCCAAGCCCACATCACAGAGACACCATCCTTGCTTCTTGCAGGTCCCTGCCTGGTTTTGAATGTGTTATTTATAGCTCAGCTATTTTTCTGTTCTTTCTATCAAACGCAGCTCCTACAGAGTTCGGGGGAAAGACGTTTCACGGGGAAAATTCAGAAGCCTGGATCAGGAGGAGGTGCCAGCCTGGTCACCCCAATTTTCAGCATCTAGAGCAGCACCGGTGTGATTTCACCAGGCACCAGCCTGGGTGACCTGAGAATTCACAACCTTCTCCTGGAGCCAGCTGAACACAGCCGGTGTTAATCCCCCTGAGGATTCTGATGGACAGGATAAGGTGATAAGGAAATGCCCTCCTCCCACATCCGTGCGCTCAGGCACGCTGGGCACCGGCATCTCCCACCAGGAGGAAATCTCTGCTACGTGCAGTCCCTCTGAGCCCTGCTGCGGGAGCAGGGATGCTCCAGCTGCCCGGGGACAAGCCAGCAAGAGCATCACACCATCCAGCCGGCCAGTGGGACACGTTCTCCTGGGCATCCCCAGCCCAGCTGAGCGCCGTTCTCCCTGCAGGACAGCTCCCTGGAAGGACATGAGCCTGCAGCTATGGAGCATGACCCTGACTTTCCCACCAGTCCCTTTTTCCAGCGTTCAGGGCATTGTCTCTCTAAGAGCCACGCATGAATTAAAGCCTGGGATTGCCTCCCAGCGAGGTCTGTCAGGAATCCTTCACCTCTGCACAGCCAGTGCCTGATCACACCAAAACCAGCCCTTTTCCACAGCCAGCTCTGTCTGAGCTCTGCAGAGCTGTGACAAATGCCCCTGGTACTCACGTGGCCACCACATGTCCTTCCATCACCCTGACCCTGCAACCACCAGGGACTTTCCTTCGGGTCTGAGGTTCCTGCTCCCGTAATGGGTGAGCAGCTCCTTCCCAGTGCCCCCACCCAGCGCTCAGGAAAAGCCTCTCCCTACCTTGCCATCCTTCTCACGTGCCTTTTTCCCTTCCATTCATCCTCCTTCTCAAAACAATCTTTGCCCTTCGTTGTGCATCATCCTGGGCAGGCGTCTGTCACGTTTCTGAGAGAGGAAGAGGAGGAGAGGTCCTGGGCTGCTCACGGACATCGGCTGCTCGCAGTGTGGTGGGTTTGGAAGGCTCAGAGGTTCTGCAACACGGTCCTGATGTTTGCCCGTGGGCTACTGAACCACATCTATACCCCCTGTAACCAACAGCACCTACCCCATCGCGTGGGAGACTGGGAGAGAACAGCAGGAGGAAGGAAAGGAAAGGAGAGGAAGCAGGAGGAAAAGAAAGGAAAGGAAAAGGGGAGGAGATGGAACCAGCAACAGCCCCGTGGCCTTTATCTCTTTCTCCTAAGCACACGTGTCCCCAGGGATGCCAGGCTGGGGATGCTCTGACCCACGGGTGGACAAGCAAGCCCTGGAGCAGTGAGCAGCATGCTGGGTGCTCACTGAGATTTGTCTCCCTGAACCTCAGCCTGTTTTGCTGGACATCAAGAAGAGCCACCAAGCACTGTCCCCTCACCTTCCCACCACAGATCTGCGAGAATACAACCACTGGTAACCCAGAGACAAACTAAACTAAGACCCTGCCAGATATTCCTGGGAAAGAGCTATCAGGGCACAAGAACTACTCTTTTCCATGGCTCCACCATGATTAAAGATAAATGCATCATCCTCTAATTAAATCACCTAATCAGGGCCTCGGTGTGGTTCGATCCAGTCCCTCTTGCTGGCCCAGCCTCGGGGCTGTGGCAGAAACTCTGCCAGTGGTGGTGCAAAAGGCAAAGAGGTGCTGACCCCACCTCTGCTGCTCCACGTGTCTTCCGATGATTAATCGCTCCTCCTGGTAAAATATTTATGCCTTATTTCCAACGTGCCTGCCCTCAGCTGCCAGATATTGATTCTTGCCATCTTTTCTCTGCTTAATTAACGAGATTTTGGCTACTGTGTATTTCTTTCTCTGCGAGAGTATTTAGATGCTTTTGCCAAGCCCTCTTCTTTCCTCTTTGATTTGATTTATGAGTGGATTCACTGGATGGCTCCCTCCTCTCCAGCTGTAAGACCCTTTCTGCAGCCCCTTGCTCCCTTCTCCTGGGATTCCACATCTCCTCTGCTGAGAAGGAGCTGCCATAAGCCCAAATTTAGTTCTGACCAGAAATATCCTGAAAATTTTCAATTCTCTGGTGCAGAAATGGGGACAGACAGGCAGCCACCTCCCAAACTGCTGCCTGGTGAACCCCTGTGCTGCCTCTCCCAGCATCTGCAGGCAGCTCCAGCTGAAAATTCACCATCCAGATTAGGGACAGGAAACCACATACAGGCACAGTTATTATTTTTGGGTGTAAAAGATTTCCATGTTCCATTCTGCTCCAGTTAGGATGCCTTTCGCTCTCTCAGCTTACCACCCAGATTTGTACAAACCATTAACACTCAGCTGCTCTGGGTCAGATCCAGGTTTTTCCAGAAATCATTTCTATCTCCTTTCTTCCAGATTAGTGATAAAAACACCAAGCCCATGTTACCAGCTAGCAGTGCCCAACAGTGATAATCTCCCTTATAACTGCCTTGAGAATGGATCACGTTTATTTAATACCAGCTTTCTTGACACTGTACAATGTCAGCTCTAAATACTGGACTGGATTGACTTTTTTAATACTGGAAAGTGCAGATTTTTACAAGAATATCACCTCCCATAACTCAAATGCTTCTCAGAAGTGTATTACAGCCTGAGAGTCACCTCTCATGTTGGAGACTGAAATAATTTCTACTTGCCAGGAGTTATTTTCCATATAGCCACGTTGGATGGCAGGAATTTATTCCTGGTGCTGAAGTCTTTAATCAATTCAAGCCTGAGCCAGGTTTCTCCCTCTTATCCCTGAGGGGATGCTATCAAGCCAATCAACCTGTAGCTACCAGGTCATCTTATTCCCTTTTGGGAAGAGCAACAACACTATTCAAACACCTTTTAATCATCTGGAATTTCCCCGGGGTTCATCCCAGCACACGGATGGGTGGTGAGATTTCAGCTATAACCACTCCAGAACAGGAACCAGAAAAGCTGTTTCCTCAGATCTTTGAAAAATTTCTCTTCTTTTTTTTTTTTTTCCCCCTTCTTTTTCTTTTTTCTGCCTTTCTTTTATTTTTTTTTTTTATTTTATGGAAACCTCTGGAGTGGCAGCCTCGGACTGACAGCAGTGACCGCAGCTTGGATGCTGCAAGTGGAGGGAGAGGCCGCTCCGGCACTGCAATGTGGAACAAATTAGAACTCAGAGAGCAAAGGAAATGAGAACGCCCTGGCAGCGGTGGCTTTGACGTGCGCTCCTCGGCTCCAAATCCTGCCCTGGGCTCCAAATCCTGCCCTGGGCTCCAAATCCTGCCCCTCTGCAGATCCCATCTCAGCAAACCCAAACCCCTGAGCGGAGCCCCCCACTCTGTTTCCTTCGGGATCAAGTCTCCGCTCCAGAGCCCAGCCTTTCCTTGTGCGAGTTTTATCCATCTAATCTAGGGGCAGACCGGAGGCTGATGATGTCCATGCCTGCCCTGGTGCCGTCTTTAGCCGGATCAGGGTGGGTAAACTCCTTACCACGTTATTATTAGCAGCAGGCCTGGACCCCGCAGCCCCGGTCCCGCAAACACCAACAGCTTGTCCCAAAGGCATCTATAGCTCCACAAACATTGTAACAGCCTGGGACCTGATTCCACAAGGACAACGGGAGTCCTTTCAGCAGGTTTTCTTTTCTTGGTTCTGTTTTTCCCTGTAATTATTTGGCAGGGAGCCGCCAACGTGCACCAGCTCTCCGGCAATGCCCCAGCGCAAATGCCAGCCCTGTGCCCGGGCAGCTCAATTCACACACCCCAGAAACACTGCACAAAAAGCATTTGCTTTCTGCTGCCTCCCGAGCTCCACAGTCTCCGTAGGCTGCCTAATTATAAGATCTTAGCAATAATTTTTTTTTTCTTTTTTTTTCCAGTGATAATTAACTGGTCCTGGAGAGAGCTGAAAATAAGCACTTCCCAAGCAAAGTAGCAAACTCCCCTGAGTTTTCTCTGCTGAAGTTACAGCTCAGCATGAAACTGCTCCAGCCTCACAGGGGCACAGATCATCTCAGCAGCTCCCTGCCACGGGCTGGGATGCCACCGCAGCGGCGGATACAGGTGAAACGGAGGGACAGCAGCGGGATCCCAGGCTGTGCGAGCGGACACGGATCCCAAGGGACACGCAAAGGGGAGAAGGATCCCAAGGGGTCTGGAATGGGGAAAGGGATCCCAGGGAATGTGCAAGGGGCAGAAGAAGCCCAAGGAGCATGCGACTGGGAGGGGGATCCCATGGAACATGCAGTGGGGAGACGGATCCCGAGGGGTATGGAACTGGGACGAGGATTCCAAGGAGAGTTCAGTGGGGAGAAGGAGCCCGAGGGGGATGGAGCGGGGACGATCCCGAGGGATGTGCGATGGGACACGGATCCCCGGGGACAGGCAGCGTGGGGAAGGCTCCCGGCCATGGGCCGGGGACCCTCGGGCGCTGCGGGTCCCGGCACCGCC